TAGAAAAGTATTAAGAATTTTTCACTTTTGACCCCCCCAAAGTACCAACTAGATTCACTTTCTAATCGAACGAGGTACTGAAGTCAAAAATCGAAGCACTTTTACTGCCCCAAAACGTGAAGACAGACAAAAAAAAAAAACACACATCATGGTAAAATCAATACATTCATCGCTCCGCTCAGAATCTAAAACTATAATGTTTATTGTGTAGATGAACTTCCCTAAATTATTATACACTGTTAATGTGATATAGAAAATCAATCTGCCAATAGCATAAACATAAAATAATATTTATAAGTATCATAAGCGTTGATTGGGGGAGGGGGGAGAGGGCTTAACCACAAAAATTAAAATATATATAAATGTATGTATATGTTACGGTAAAAGTACAAATACCGTAACATATATATATATATATATATATATATATTTAATCTTTTTAATGGTCCCGTTTTGTGTAAGAAGATTTAATTAAGCCTCTCATAAAATGCAATTAAATCTCCATCTATATTCTTGAAAAAAAAAAAAAATTTTGAATGAATGAAAACAACAGATATTTTCTAAAACACAACATATTTTGATATTTTAAAATTGTACGGTCTTTTCACTTTGATAACTTATATAATCTAATTGGTAATAAATAACATAAAGTATACTGACTTTTCAATTAATTAACATATAGGTACCTACTGTAAAATCCTAGCGCTTTAGAGTTAGTGTGTAGATCTTTATGAAATATGAATCTAAAGTCTTAATGCAGATAAATGGACATTGTTTTAGAATTGGAAAAGTTATGACTTATAGGTATATTAATGATATAAAACAGACATTTGATATAATTTAATATAGATTCTTTAATTAACAATTTACTTAACATTTGATCAATAAATGTCTATGAAGGTGGCGACATAAGCATATCGTTTTCATGTAGTTCTCTTGTTTTGAACCGAAGCAAATCATTGTCGATGTCAATAGCTTGCAGATCATCTTTATCAAACGTCCCCGATGGTTGAAATGAAGTATAAGAGCATAGACTATTCCAATCTGGCTGAGGAAGGAGGCTAGAAGAGTTTCCAAATATTGGATTATCTGAAAAACAATAAAAAATATTGCTTTGAAATTAATTCTATATACACTGTATGGAGTATATATACTTAATATAATATTTGGTACCTATACAAAATACCTAACCTATAGTATAAAAACTATAACCAATGTTTTAAGGAATAATAAAAGTTATAAATATTTAGACACTTATAAATAATAGATGTATTACAACATATCAAYAGGCACCTAGTTATTTAAAAGTCAAAATAATAATGATGGTTCAATGGTTGTAAAACTTCAATAAATATTTTGTTTAAATAAACCGATTCAAAATCATGACTAATAATATACCTACCATA